CCCCCCCCCCCCCCCGCCCCCGATCGCTACCGCCAGCAACGACGTCAGAGCGACGAAATTTTCTTTCTTTTTCTTTCTTTTCTCTCGCGCTCTTCTCTCGACTTTACGGCCAATGAAGTTTGCTTCGTTTGCTCGTGCCATTGCCAACGTAACAGTTCCGACGATACCTTTTCTTCTTTTCTCCGTCTGTAGCTTTTCTCCTCTGAAAAATTCAAGAAGTCGAGAAATCGTGGAAATCTGAAAGTATGGAAAAAAAAAAAAAAAAAAAGAAACAAAAGAGAGGAATTAATCATTGCGAGATGCTAGCGAGATTAATAACGTACCACAATGAACTTCAAGCCACTTGGGATTTTCATTGTAAAACGAAAAAATTTTTTAGTAATTTGTTATAAAGTCATTTGTACCTACGATCGCAATAACAACGCATATAATACCGATTAAGGTTAATTAAATTAACGATTTGTTATTTAAAGCAACGTTAAAAAGTTAAAATAAAATAACGTTAAAGTAAATATTATTTATTAATATTATATATTAGTACTATATTTATTATGTAATTTCTTGTTACAATAAATTATAACCATTTAATATTATTTAATATTATTTATTATTATTTAGTATCGTAAACTAATAAACTAATTAACTATTATAACTATAATATATAACTATATTTATTAATATATAACTATACTATTATAACTATAATAAATAATACAGTATTATAAACTGATAAATAATATAGGCTAATAAATTATAATCATTTAATGTTATTTATCATTATTTAGTATCATAATATGAACAATATACTAAGACAATAATACTAGAAACAATTGGAACAAAATGTATCATTTTAAATTAATTCCAACACCATTAAGAAATTGTCTCGTTAAAAAAAATTAAATTTATCGCTAAACTTTTCTTGACAATTGTAATCGTTTCTGCATCACTGTAAAAATGTTTAGGACACACTTCAGAATTATTCGAAGTATATTGTTCGTTGAAATTTAAGTTCTTCTGTTCTACAATGCAATCTTGAACTGTTCGCTAACATTTCTGCATTTCTGCATTGTTGTGAAAATTGTAGGGTACACTTATTATCAACAATCGTAACAGGGTATATGTACGCTAATAATGAGAATGTAACTGAAAGCGTGCTACATAGAGGGAGCTGCGTGGCGTTCAAAGTCCCCCTTTTTTTCAGCTGGTGGACGACGACGGAAGCATCGAGACGGCCCTCATCAATTACCTGTTCACGAAGCAGATTGTGAAACGGCTACGGAGCCAGTTGGACATCGGGGACCTGCAGCGGAAGCGTAGCTACTGGAAACAGTGCGCCTTCAACGCCGTTTCATGCTTCGGCAAATAGAAATTCAGCCAGCCCGACGACCTATCTTCTCTTCTTCCGCTTCTTCTCTTCCTCTCGCGTGTGTGTCCGTGTGTTAATCTCTTCTCATGTCCAGTGTTTAGCTTCTAAATAGCTTCTCGAGTCGTAGCTGGAGGAAAAAATCGCGGAAACCGACTTGCACCCGCCGAGATAGAGTGTCCTCGGTGTGAGAAGAATATTCTGAGCTTCTGACCGAAAGAAGAAGCGAACCGTGTTGTTCCTTCCAGCAGGCTGGAAACGTACGATGCACCATCGAGTCACTCGAGCTTCACTCCAAGAGAAGTATCTTGGAAAAATTCGCGGCGGATGCAGATGGCGATGGTAAACACTTTCGCGACGAGCGAAACGGTTCTAGCTGAATATACAGCATACAATTCGCAAAAGTCTGTAGTAAGCTGAGTACAGGGAGTATAGTTCTGCTGTTTCTAGGTATGTGAATGCAAGAAATGTTACATCTCATTGTGATCGGTCATATAATTGTTTGTTGCTGGAGGTTTTGAAAAAGATTAAACGTCACGAATGAGCATAGGGAAAGTATTTTCCTTCTTTTTCCAATGAAACGAATATAACATTTTTGCATATTTATATTGCATAACAGTTTGCGTGGTATTTATTAACAGCTTGAGACATAAAACTATATTAATGTGTAACACAGGTATACATTTAAACGTATAAGTACATTGATATTTATTATAAATGAAAACGTAATAATTTAACAAGTTCAACAATATTATTTAATATTTAATAATATTATATTTCCGTCTGATGTGTTATGTAAACATTATGGCGCCAATTTTGAAATAACGTAGAAACCACACGTTGCCTGTATTCAGCTAAAGAATTTGAAATCACGTACGTTTCTCGTCGCGAAAGTGTTAAAAAAGAAGAAAAAAAAAAAACAGTAGAATTTCTTTTCCTTGTAAAATGGCTCGTTATTTGATTGTGCAGCGGCGCATAGTATTATCTTTCTACTCACCTACCACTAGTGGCTGTAACTATCAACTGAAAGAAAGTTCAATAAAGAATTGATCTCATTGTTGTATGCAATCGGTCTCGAGCTAAAAACAAAAAAAGAGAATAATAATAATAATAATGAAACGTAAATATAAGACGTTCGATTCCAATGATTCTTTTATTCCACGTACGTTCGTTATATCATTTCATTTTCATCGTGGCTTGACGTATCGCGAAGAATTGTACAATCTTCGTGCTCGAACTAATATAAAATTCATTCTCGCGTGGTCCATTCCAAAATAGATGTCACCAGCTGCCACTGTACATAGCGAATGAACGTTGTGAACCTGTGAAACGCAGAGGTATAGGTTAGGTTTAGGTTGGAAGGTGGGGATAGCTCAGTCGGTAAGCATCAGGCTCTTAATCTGGGGGTCCAGGGTTCGAGGCCCCTATTCGAGCGAAAAAAAAAAAAAAA